TACCTTGTGAAACCCAGCAAAGAAAAAATGAGTCCTAGGCTGACTAGCGGAGATAGCGCATGCTCTGTCTCTCTTTACATTTCCACCTACTCTCCCATGCTGACCAACTGTAAGGAACACAGCACAGATTTTCTTTTGCTTGGACATCAATCCGTTAATTCCTTCTAACATACACCACTACTGACAAAAATTCCTGTTGGGTCATCTCTTCCACACCTGGGCTGCATAGTTATATGTCGGACTACTTTATCTCATTGAACAGTAGCCTTCCCATATAGAGAAGATCATTGAAACAGAAGGACAGATGGTAAGCTCTGGGGAACACTGGCCGGTGTCTGGAAGCAGCAGAGGGGAACTGTGACAATTTTAGGAAGCTTGTGCCTGGTACTGAACTAACTGAGTCAACCTGAAGTAAACCTCTCTCTTCTGGTTCTGTAGTCTTGATTTTGTTGTTATTCAAACTGAAGAACAAGCAAGGTCATTCCCTCCCACTGAGATACTCTGAGGATCTCATGCCCAGGCCCATAGCTAACCTTGTGCCCACTGTACACTTTCCCCCATCAAACCATATAAGAATAATCACAGAATCACAGAATGGTTGAGGTTAGAGGGGACCTCTGGAGATCATCTAGTCCAAACCCCCTGCTCAAACAGGGTCACCTAGACCACATTACTCAGAATTGTGTCTAGATGGCTTTTCAACTTCTGCAAGGAAGGAGACTCCACAACCTCTCTGGGCAACCTGGTCCAGTGCTCACTCACCGTCACAGGAAAGAAGTTTTTCCTCATGTTCAGACAGAACTTCCTGTGGTTCAGTTTCTGCCCATTGCCTCTTGTCCTATCGCTGTGCACCACTGAGAACAGCCTGGCCTCATCCTCTTGACACCCTCCCTTCGGATAGCTATACACATTGATCAGATCCCCCCAAGTCTTCTCTTCTCCAGGCTGAACAGGCCCAACTCTCTCAGCCTTTCCTCATAGGAGAGATGCTCCAGTCCCTTCATCATCTTAGTAGCCCTTCACTGCACTTGCTCCAGGAGCTCCATGTGTCTCTTGTATTGGGAGCCCAGAGCTGGACACAGTACTCCAGATGAGGCCTCACCAGGGCTGAGTAGAGGGGGAGGATCACCTCCCTCGACCTGCTGGCAGCACTCTTCCTCATGCAGCCCAGGATACCATTGGCCTTCTTGGCCACAAGGGCACATTGCTGGCTCATGGTCAACCTGTTGTCCACCAGCACTCCCAGGTCCTTCTCCTCAGAGCTGCTTTCCAGCAGGTCAGCCCCCAAAATGGGTCTCTCAGGAAAGCATGCCAAAGAATGGAATTTTCTCCTAGTCAAAAAACCCTACTTTTTTATCCCACTGACCAAAAACCACTGTTCTTCTCACAAAGGGAAATTCGAGGAGAAAAAAATGCATGTTGAGAGACTGAAATAGATTTCTATGCTTCCTGGGTGCCCATCTGGAACATGCTTGTCAAGTTCATCGTTTTTTCTAGAGACAGAAAATGAAACCAGCCAGAGCCATCCAGCCTCACTGCTGGTAAAGCAAAGAGCTGTGGCCCTCCGGCACCACAGTTCCCTCTTCTCTCCCAAGTGCCATGTGCCCCTGGGACGGGTCGGACTGAAGGAAGTTGTGAGCGGGTCAAAAACAGGAGTAGCTGGAAAATCATGACTTGCCTTCTCAATAAGCTTCTCAAGCTTAATCACTTCTACAGAAAGGGCATTTCTTCCAGGATATCATTCTAATATAAATTTTTCCATCAGATAACCCTAGCAGATGTCCTAAACTGAGTTTTCCTGACTGCTTTGTGCCAGAGTGGAACACACAGAAATTTGTCTCCAGGGTGATATGGGAGAAACAAGTCACAGTGAGTTACAGATTGTATTTTCAGGGTTGCCAAAAAGGACTTAGAGATCCAAGTCCTCCTGAAATTCGTTGCCCTGTATATCCAGTTCCTGTGATGTATCCCTAGAACTGCAAGCATTCATTTAACATTTTCAGCAAATACCTGGAAAAACATCATCTTGGATTCTCCTTTTTGATTTTCCTTTCTGTTCTGTCACACTCTGCAGATGTTCCAGACGGGAAGGAATGCGCAGGGTAGCCTCCAGGGTCAATTCCTGTATGCCCTTCTGACTGAAAATGTTAACACCCTCCTGAGGATCCATCTTTTTCCTTCTTTTCTACTGTTGTATTTGATATTTCTCAGTGATTCTTTCTAGATGGGCACAGCAGTCACATTCTGCTTTCAATGATACTCAGATTCTTCACTGAGGAGTGATTTGGTGAACGTCTCCACTTTCATCCCCTCCCCTGGCCATCTCCTGTGTTCTCCAGATATGCAGTGTCCCACTTTCTTACTATTTGACTGAAGAACCAATTCAGGTATGCAGAAGACTTTGAAGAATACCACTGAAAAGATTGCTTTAAATAACTGTGGCTCAGATTAGGAGTGGCAAACAGATGAGATTCATAGTTTCCTAGTAGCTCTACAGTGATGGATTCATGCTTTGTCCTGCATTCCCTTTGCTGCTTGTCACCAGTCTTCAAGCCATTTCCTGGAAAGCAACCAACTGATTGTATTCCCATTTTGTTGTAGAATGCTGTGGCCATAAACCATCTAACAATGAAAAACTTGGCTCATCTTGCACCACACTGCTGAACTTTATCTGGATCGCATTGCAATCCCTGATGAAGAAAGATCCATCCTGCCTAATTCTTTGCAGATGGGCTATAAATACCTGAAGATATGTTTTGTATGAGTGTGTCACAGAGGCTGTGACATGCCTACTATTTCTTCTGGCAGTCTCATGTCAATTCTCCGTAACTAACTTTAGCACCCAGTACCAGCTTCCAGCACCTGAAAACCAAAAATAGGAATGGGCATTCAAAGTGTTGTGATATAATACACATTTGGCTTTAGAAAGGAGCTCAAACTTAAGGCAATGGAGAGCAAAAAGGCACACCAATCTCACCATGGATATGTGACATTAAACAAACCACTTGTCATGATACTCTGCTGAGTAATTGCCACACGGAACAGGACCTTCTTATTATTCACTGTTTTGCCCTGTAAAACCTACACAACCCCGAGAAGGAGAAATCTGTAGAAAGCTCTTGCTTCTCTGACCATCCCTGGCTAGATAAGAGGCCCTGCTTCAATAGCACCTCCCAGAAGTCCACCTACTCACACACATGAGAAGACCAAAATGTGACATCATGGTAGGCATCCTACTTAATCCCACAAGAAATCTAGCCACAGGATGAGGTCACTTCCTCAAGGTAATGCTGACACTTGCAAGACTTCCTGTTCTCCCAGCCCTCCAGTTCTATCCTCGCCACCCTTCACAGCTGGGCTTTCTGCAGCGCGTTCTTCTGGCGCCTTGTACGTTCCCATCCTCGGCTGCCTGCTCGCAGGGCTTTGCTTGGATTGCACCAGCCACCCAGGGAATTACCCTCTGCTGCACCTTGCTGCACCCGGGAACCCAGCTCAGCCTCCATCACAGCGGGAGACAGGTGGAGTTAACCCTCCTTTTGGTTTCGCCTTTGCAATTTGCTGTGGCCAAGCAAGGGCCTGGCCCATCCATAAGGGGGTAAGAGGCCAGCTGCATTGACAGGCCTGCTCCTGATGGCCTGTTTGCCCTTGCCCATGCCTCCCCTCAGAAACCTGGTGCACCTCTCACGCTCTTGTGTCCTTGGACAGCTCGCAGAGGAGCAGAAGCTCCAGCTCAGCCTGCATGATGGCTGCTTTGACCTCTGAAAAGGTGCCCACGGTTCTTGGGCTCCTGGGGGGCAGCCTGCCTAGAGCTGCCTCCTCCGCAGTCAAGCGGGCAGCGGCCCAGTGCCTGGTCTTGGGTGCGGAGAGGGGGAAGCCAGGTGAAGACACCACAGAAAAAAGGGCATCATCCAGTTCTTCTCTGCAGCTGGCCTCTGCCCTTCCCCCTCGGTGTTTGCATGCTATTTCAGCCCAGCCACCCTTCAGAGAGGAGCTGGTAGATTTGGAGCAAGAGGTGCATTTTGCAAGCACAGGAGCGCTGTTGTCGGGGGATTTTGTGCGCTCTTGCCCCTGCTGGGCCGGAGCAGGGCCAGTCACCGCCACTGTACTGTGAGGCAGGGTACTGCCCAGAACAAATAGGTGATAGGGGACGTGCCCAGCCGGGAGGAGCACGCTTACAAAGCATGTATCCACGCTCTGCATTTTTTTTTCCTTTGCCCTTCCAAGAAAACCCGTCGTAATAACCCACCAAAACGACCTAGGGTCAGCACTCGCCTTGCCCACGCGGGACGGCCGGCAACTCGTGGGGCAAACCCGGTGGAGGGAGAGCGTGTGCCGGCACCCCCTTCTCCTCCACCTCC